TGAACTTTACATGTAATGGCTTTTAATATCCATGTGTTGTTTCATCTTGACGGGAAGCCTGAGTATGTAGCGCCATACAAGACGGTGTACCGGGGTGAATGCAAGTGGTACTTGCACGGTGTGTAGGTGATAGACGTATACCTGCACTGTCTCTGGCCAGTAGATTAGTATTGACACACATGACATGATTATCTGCTGCATTGCATTATTTTTGAAATGATAAATGATAAACTGCTTTTGAACTTATATTGCACATGTAAGTGAGCTTGGGGTGGAAGATCCTTGAGGACTCACTGACTTACTGAGATTTCTAGATTAGAGATCTTATCCCACGTTTGGGGAATGCTTATTTCAGGATCAGGTAGTATGGGTAATGATGCCTCAGGCGGCAGGAGGCCGGAGCTTAGCTGATTATGTTTTACTGCTTTATGTTTGCATGACTGGATTTGGATGCTGTTTATGTTTTCCGCTATTTATGTTATGTTGTTGTTGAGACTGATGTTGGGCATGTTGCCTTATTTGAGTGAGCATGGGGATTGTCCATGACACTTCTTGTTAGTACTTGTAGTTTGGAGTTGTATAAACTGTTAGATGGTCCGGTCTACGTTGTTGTAGTTCCGTGACTAGAGCCACACTTATATTATCTATGTTATGAGGTATTTCAGTAGCTGTTTTATTGCAATTACATACAGACGATGTTTTATTAATTGATTATTAAGTAAGTTGGTAATGTTAATGGCATCATAATTGAAAAGAAAAAGTAATTCCGCATTTTTAATTAAGCGCAGCTTAATACGATATTATGATAACATTACCGGATATATACGGGGTGTTACAGATACCATGTAAATAACCAATTCAACCCAAAAGCGTAAGCTTTTGGGTGAGGCTACATTAATGGTTTTATATACCTCAACAGTTTATATTATTCTCTAATCAAAATTTAAAAATTGAAAGAAAATTGTTTTTTTTTGGTAAACAAAAGAAAATTGTTTAACCACAAGGTTAAACAATTTTTAAACTCATAGGCAGTGGTTAAACTACAACAATCATAGCAATGAGACTGAAAAATATATCTCAACCCAAAACCTTAAAAATTGAATATACGGAATATATACTCCTATTTTCAGTTTTTATATCTTTGAAAATTTACCAAATGAAAGAAAATTAAAAACGTTGATCATAAAAAAAATGTGAATTCAACGAAAGAAAGAAAGATCATAGACACGTTGTATCTGTATATATGATCCCATGTTGCACGAAACAAAAGTATTTTTTTTTTTTTGTTTTACGTACTTTACTAATCCACTGAACAAAAGTTTTGGAAGTGATTGGTCATGCCTAGAATTAATAACTTTAGTACCTTCAAACGTTAGACATACAATGCACCAAATACACTTGTGCCTTTCAAGTGGGGCCATTTTAGGACTGGCATTTTCATAGTATTTTTCTTCTTTTTTTCCCTCGTTGCCAAATAGTTTAAAAATACCGATATCTTGCTTAATTTTCAAAAAAAAATTTCCTAAATTTTTATTGATTGTTGATTATTTTAATAAATTTAAATATTTATTGCTAGAAACAGTAATCGATAAATATTTAACAAATAAATCACTTATATACTAACGAAAAAAAAATGTATAATACAAAAACCCCCCTTTCACAAGAAAATTATTAGAATATTATTTTAGTCTCTCACTAATGGACCTCCTTTGTTTTGTTTTTCAAAGTTCTTAATTTATCTTTTCTTTTAGAAATATTCCATCGGTTCATCATTTTGAGACTAGTTTAATTTAGGGTAGATTCAGGATTAACACTTTAAATTACTCCCTAATGTGATACTGGAGAGAATCGAGCATATGCTCTCACTCTCACTTGCTCAGCTCCTATTTATCAATTAAGCTACCACCATTTGATAATTTATACTTTCTTTTAATTTAGACTTTTATATAGGTATGTGCTTACTTTTCATTTCACTGAATTATTGAGATTTATTTATTTTAATTTGTTTCATTTTGGTACATACTCTTCATCTTAGTCTTTCAAAATCGTTTTCTTTATTTTGATCTCATATGAATATAATCACTTTCGTTTCCCTTCTCTAATCAAATCAATCGTTAACTTTTAAGTTTTACCATTCTTTCACTTTTTTAAATATAAAATTAATTATTTTTAATTTCCATATATACAAATACCTTTAAACATATTTAAATTTATGTATTGTAGTTACAAAAGTGTTTTAGCCAAATATTAAGGCTATCAACTACTGAGTTCAAAATTTATGTATTATTTTACCCATTTGTTATAAATGTCCAAATTACTAATTTAGTTATCTATGCAAGTAGATAGAAAGCGCAAAATTAAAGCGATTACAACAGCAAATAATCAAAAGAAAATAAAAGAATGATTCCAATACAAGCGAATACTTCTGACACTAACCAAAATAAAAAATATATATCTCTGAACGACTAAACAAAAGTGACTATATATGGATTAAAATGAAGGAGACAATTATCAAGGAATAAAACGAAAGTAATACATCAATGAGGGTCAAAATAATATTTTATTCATACATTAATCTTGATAATACTTTTTCTCCATTTACAAGAATTTAAATATTTTGAGTTGTAGGGTTTTTTTTAAGTAATTTAATTTCAGCACAATTAAAATACTTTATCATTTTCAAATGATTAATTTAAATTAAATTTATCAAGAATAATTTTAAATTAAAAGTTCAACCAACCTAACAAAAAATGTTGAATTGATATTAATTGCACTCGTCTATGTAAAATATGAATTATTAGAATTAAGGTTATATAATGTTTCATTATAATTTTGAGGATATCTAACTCAGGAAAAGTTTAAATTTTAAAAGAGGAACGTGAATAAGGAATATGGGTTCTCTTTTTCTGCAGTTACTGCAGATAAGTTATCTGCAGTAAGTCCAATACGACGTCGTTTTGGGTGGAAATCATGGTGTTTTTGTAATTTTAATTTATTTCAGGATAATATTAGTCTTTATATTTATAATTTTTTAAGATTTCAATACCAAATTGACGTCGTTTTGAGAAAAAATGCAGATAACTTATCTGCAGTTACTGCAGAAACATTTTTCCCAAAGAATATAGTGCTAATATTCTTTTAATTCCAAATACACACAAGTTCGACGTGAGTCTCTCATGTGAACCGAAAAAATCTAATATATTACGATGGTAACTATATTCTACCAATAGGAGTATAATATAACATATCAGTTGACATAATTTATAAAGAAAGAGAATTTTCTTTAATATTATAATTATATATTTACTAAAATAATTAATTTATAATTTTATTTTGAACGGGAGTTATACGCAATATTCAGTGCGATTCTAGTACAAAAAATGTTCTCCGAATACCGAAACTGACACTGGTGTGTATTCCAACTATCTTTTATGGGTTTTGATCCGGATAAAATATAGGTCCAACCAGGGCCCAAAAACACATAAGGAAGCCCAGGCCCATTGAAGACCAGAAGCAAAGCGCAAAGAACAAACACAGACACGATGCCCTCATTGCGACACACAAGACGCGATACCCACATCGCGTATGAAACCTTCTATAGGAAGTAAACTTAAGGCCTAAGGCAGCTCCACCGCGCTTTAACTCCAGCAAACAACGGAAAACTCCAGCTTGCCACAACTCTACTACTAGACACTATGGAAGATAAGGTTACTGAGGTTCCCTGACTGACCTGCAGCTCAAGGCTGGCCACTCAGAAGCCAAGCCGCCTTAACTAAGGTGGCATCTTAACTACTATATAAGCAAGCGATATACCACCAAGGTACGATCATCTTTACTTAATCAACACAAAAACACCTGCCTCTGATACTGACTTAAGCATCGGAGTGTCTTCGCAGGTACCCCCATTTGGTGCAACACGCCAACGTGAAGGACAAAGCTCAAGCACTCTCCAACAGCAATACCAGGCCCAGGCCACTAACAACGTAAGCTCATTCAACCGTGTGTGATTGGGCTCGATACATATATGCCAGTCCATACTGTATTTGGTCTGATCAGGTTTTATAAGAGTTATGTTATAGGAAAAGTGATTGTGTAATGTTATAGAGATTCGTTTTGCATACGTGCCTTAATTTTTTATTTTTTTTTGCTTTAAAAAGGAAAGTTGTATGTGTAGAAAACTTTTTGGTGTTATGTGACATGATAGATGCAAATCCCATCTTTTATTTTACTTTTTCTTTTTAAGGATTTAATTTGTGTACGTTTTAAAGAAAATATCACATGCACATATGCAGTAAAATATTTTTTTTAAGCTAAAAGTTGTTTTAATTTTTTTACATGACCATCACTTTGTTATAACTTAGAAATTAATGATCTTTAACTTGGAAAAAAAGAAGTGGTAGAGAGAAAGTGATTTTTATTACTATTTTATTAAAAAATAACCTTTACGACGTTTATTCAAAATTACAAATGACATCCTTACATTGAAAATTTTTGGTATTTTTAAACAAATACCAAAAAAAGTACCGTTTGTATAATAAAAGTGGAAATTCTATACTCTCCTTCATTTGGAAGGAGACCTCCAAACTGCTGAAACATGTGGAATGGCTAATTTTGCAGAAGTGAGCTAATCCTCTCCGAAACGCACATGCATCATATGTATTTCACTTCAAATATTTGTCAAATGCATTCCCTTCGTACAAACACAAACACAAACACATTTAACACATTCATACGCTTAAACATTGTTTTACTTTCTAAAATCTATCCAAAGGCAACTAACCGAGCTCATCCTTCTTTTTTGAGAACACTTTTCCAAAATATACACGTACCTTCGGGTTTTCGGAATGCATCTTTAGCCCTATGGTTTAGCTGCTATAAATAGGCATCAAACTTCTAAACAAGTAACCACAATCATCCATCATCCATTTCTTCTCCAAACCGTAGCCAAAGTAATTCAACTAGCTCATCATCCTTTTTATTTGAAAAACTTTATTCAAGCTATGGGTCATTCCCTCAGTGTTTTGTTTTCACACTTTCAAGTCTTTTGGCTTTCTTTGCTTAGTATAGTCACTAGCCTTACCATTCTCAAAGTCCTAAGATCTCAATTAATTGAGATATCCAAGAAACCAAAACTCCCACCAGGCCCAAAACCATGGCCTATAGTTGGTAACCTTCCTGAAATGCTTGCAAACAGACCTACATATAAGTGGATACACAAGTTGATGAAAGAAATGAACACTGAAATCGCATGTATCCGCTTAGGAAATGCCAATGTAATCCCAGTTACTTGTCCCACCATTGCCAGTGAATTCTTGAGAAAACATGATGCAACTTTTGCATCAAGATCATTAAGCATGTGCACTGATGCAATCAGTAGTGGATATTTAGGTGCAATATTTGCACCCTATGGGGATCAATGGAAGAAAATGAAGAAAATCATAAGCAATGATTTGCTTTCCCCACTCAGGCATCATTGGCTCCAAGACAGAAGGACTGAAGAAGCTGATAACCTTATGTTCTACATCTACAACAAATGCAAAAATCCAAATGATTGTGGCTTTGTGAATGTTAGGGCTGCTGCACGTGATTATTGTGGTAACGTGATAAGGAAACTTATTTTTAATACAAGGTACTTTGGAAATGGTGGTAATGCTGGAGGACCAGGTTTTGAGGAAGAAGAACATGTTGATTCCATCTTCACTTTGCTTAAGTACATTTATGCCTTTTCTGTTTCTGATTATTTGCCATGCTTGAGGGGACTTGATTTGGAAGGCCATGAGAATGAGGTAAAGAAAGCGATGGGGATCATAAAAAAGTATCATGATCCTATCATTGAACAGAGAATCAAACAATGGAATGATGGATTAAAGGTTGAATTAGAAGAGGACTGGCTTGATATTTTGATCTCCTTGAAAGATGTTAACAATAACCCATCATTGACACAAGAGGAAATCAAGGCGCAACTCATAGTAAGTATTTCACTTCACTTAATTTTTTTTTTAATTTCTCGTTCATGCATTAATTAGCACTAGCACATGCAAACACAAATTAACCATTCATGCATGTACGAAAAACATAAATTATTAAATCAAATATTATAACTCAAAATCAAACTACTCCTTGTAGGAATTGATGCTTGCAACAGTGGACAATCCCTCAAATGCTGTTGAATGGGCACTTGCAGAAATGATAAACCAACCTGAGTTGCTTCAAAGAGCCACTGAAGAATTGGATAATGTTGTAGGCAAAGAAAGGCTAGTCCAAGAATCAGATATTCCAAAGCTCAACTATGTGAAGGCTTGTGCAAGAGAAACTTTACGCCTTCATCCAATTGCACCTTTCATTCCTCCCCATGTGGCTATGAATGACACAATAGTTGGTAATTACTTGATTCCTAAGGGTTCTCATGTAGTCCTAAGCAGACAAGAACTTGGGAGAAACTCAAAAGTGTGGAATGAACCCCTCAAGTTCAAACCTGAACGCCACCACAAGAATAATGGCTCTGATATCGTTTTGACAGAGCCAGATTTGAGGTTCATAACATTCAGCACGGGAAGGCGTGGTTGTCCTGGAGTGATGCTTGGCACCACAATGACTGTCATGCTATTTGCTAGGTTGATCCATGGTTTCACTTGGAGTGCACCACCCAATGTTTCAAGCATCAACCTTGCTGAGTCCAATGATGATCTTCTTCTAGCTGAGCCACTTGTGGCAATAGCAAAGCCAAGGTTAGCAGCAGAGCTCTACCACACATGAATACGAAGCAAAAATATTTAGTTAAATAAGGAAAATAAGTCGCTAAATAAAAGAGTCATATGTAAATTACAATAATGTAATGTGAAGAATGGCTCAAAATGTTTTTTAGTTGAAAGTATTAATGTAATGTAACGTAAATTACAATAATATCTAATGTTGTATTATAGTGAAATTTCTTAACGCTAATGTTGTATATTGTTGCGACTTCAGCAAGAACACAAGTCATAAAAGTAATAAAGCGTACTTAGTACGAGATCGTTCCTATAAGAATTAGAAATTCAATCACTAATTAACTATTTATGTTTTATTTGGACATTCAATCACGAAAGTTGTATAGAAATCAAACTTAATAACAAAGCAAGCAAGTAAACTAAATAAAGATGCAAGAAAACAAAAGTTGAGTTGTTTAATAGTCAAGAACGCACAGTTAGGGTTTCGATTTCCCTTTAAAATTAAATTTCTTAATTAATTGCCCCTAATATATATTGACAATCGATTCCCCTAAGTTAATTAGAACTCAATCCATTGACATTCTAATTATTTATTATCTTGAAATAACCCCAGTTCCCCGGCTATTGCTCAAGAAAATAAGCATTAAACTCAAGAATCACAAGATCGCATAAAACTCTATGTGTATCCTTAGAATCACAAGGATTATGATTAATTTATCTTGCATGGTTCACGTACCAACATCTCTATTGTCATATAATCACCATAAATCATTCACAAGATTAAACTCATAGAAAGAATTAAGAACAGACAAATTCATTCAATTATAAAAAGGAAAAATTACATTAAAGAGCAATTCATAAATATAAAGGTTTAATTGGGTTCCATCTAGCCTTAACTATAAAGAAATCTAGCCTAGCTTAGTGGAATCGAAACACAAGAAAATAGTAAAGCTTCCCCAAACTTCATTGGTGTGATGGCGAGGTGAATATTCAAAACTTCCAGCGTATTCTTGAATCAAACCCGTCCCTGATGCTCTAAAGCATAAAGAACGCGCTTCTATGACAAAAACCAGACTTTATCTCTTCAAAGTTATGTTTTTGGTTTTGAAATTCTCCTTAAACAAGGTGTAGACCTGTGCCCTAAGTCAAAACATTGTAATGGGCCTAGTTGAATTGTAATAGGGCGCTAAAGTGCTCATGAACGCTGTAACACCCCGTGTATACCCAGTTTGTTATCATACCATCGTATTAAATAATTAAAAATGCGGAATAATTTTTCCTTTCAATTATGACGTCATTATTATTAACCAAGTTGCTTACTTAGTTCTTTTCAAAAACATTGCCTGTATGTAAATTGCAATAGAGCTAAATACACTGAATAACCTTAATATATAAATAACTGTGAGTATCTGAGTCACAGAACTACAACACGTAGTCCGGACATTAATCTTGATACATTAATACAACTCAAATCTAAATAAGACATAGTCAATCAATGTGGCATGGACAACCCCCATGCTCACCAAATAAGGCAACAAAGCCCAGCAGAGTCTCAACAACAAAATCATAATAATAAAACATAAAGCATGTCCACATCCAAGCACAACAGTATAACAACAAGCATATCACATCAGTTGCGGCCTCCTGCTGCCCGAGGTCTCAACCCCTGAGTTATCTGAACCTGAAAAATATGCCCCAAACGTGAGGTGAGATCTCTAAACAGAAATCTCAGTAAGGCAAGAGGTCTTCAAGAATTTCTCCACCCCAAGCTCACTTACATGTGCAATATAAGTTCAAAAGCAGTAATATAATATCAGTTCCAAAATCGGTGCAATGCAGCTAGGGGTGTTCGCGGTCTGGATTGGATCGGTTTTGGAAGCAAAAATCATCCGATCCAATCACTTCGGTTTGTTTATGTAATCATCCATTCGGTTTGGATTTTTTTTCAAATCCAATCCGATCCAATCCAATTTTTTCGGTTTGGATTGAATCGGTTTTCGGTTTTTTTAAAATCCTAAAGTTTGTTTCATGATTATTGTGCAAATAACATCTTTTGTATATAATGTTTTGTACATTTATTTATTTTTTGAAATACAAAAGTATCAATAGACGATAATGTAGGTTAATTTTTTTGGCAATGAGATATGAAGCATCAATAGACGATAATATAGTTTTTTCTTTTTTGAAATATTATTGATGAGATGTGACTAGGTTTTTTTTCTTGGGTTTAGTTGATAAGTTAATAGGTATTGGGTTTAGAAATTTTTTGGTTATAATTAGGAAAAGGCCCAAGTAAGTAGAAGGGAATTAATATATTGGATCGGTTTGGATTGGATCGGTTTTCATCAACCCATCCGAAAACCGATCCAATCCAATTAAAATTTGCGGGTTTTTTTTCGGTTTTCGGTTTCTTCGATTTTCAGTTTTTCGGTTCGGTCACCGCGGTTTGAATCGGTTGATGAACACCCCTAAATGCAGCAGAATAATCATGTCATGTGTGTCAACTATTTTACTGGCCAGAGAAATGCAGGGTTTACATACGTCTATTACCTACATTCAGTGCAAGTCACTACTTGCACCCACCCACAGAGTCACCCTATGGCATATCTACTACATACACAGGCTTACCGTCTAGGTAGAACAACACATGCATATTATAAGCACTTGCACATAACAACTCAACAACATTTCAAAATCAATACATGAAAATACATCATGCATATAAACCATCCCCCCATGGGGTATGGTGGAACCAACAATGGCTAAACCGAAGACACGAAAGCTTACCTCGCAAGAAAACTATCCAATCAAGAGTCCAACCAAGCTCAAAGTCCACAAACAGCAGAATCACAATCTGTTTTAGACCAGCAATAATATCAACAATCATGATCTACAAGCATATGACATAAAGACAACGCTTTCCTTTTACGTTTCTGGCCTTTAGGCTTCTCACAAAGCCATAAGCCCTTAATCACTTTGATTCTGACTTAGATTAATTATTATAGAGGTTCACTTAACCAAACATGGGTCCACAAACCCAAAAATACAGTTCTGTTTGCACAGAACCGTCACTGCCTCGAAATTCCCAGAATATCCGGATATTTGTCGGGGCCATATCCGGATATTCATATCCGGATATCTACAACCCCATATATGAATATCAATATCCGGATATTTCCAACCCATATTCAGATATCATATCCAGTTATTTCGCGACAGAATGCAGTTTCTGCATTTCGCGAGATATCACTCCCAAGGTTCCATTTTTAATCCATTTCAACGTCCAAGCATGCATTTTTATCCACTTTTAGGTTCATGTTAAGGTTGGTTACCTATTTAACTCATTAACATGCCAAGACTCAACCTTTTAACTAAAGAAACTCATGATCAAGGGTGGTGAAGCTTACCCAAAGGTTCAAAACAGAAAAAGAATGCTCTTGGAGCTCTCAAGACAGCTCCCAAGGTTCTGACTTCAATGTGCACGAAAATGGCACACCAAGACGGGTCCTTTCTCATCAAGGATCACTCCTTGAAACTTCAACACTCAAGGAAATGGTTCCCACAACTCTTACCAAAGAACTCAGCCCTCACACCTCCACCACAGTGGCCAAACTCAGAAAAGGAAACACCTTACTTACACTCTCTTAAGTCTAAAGCAAACTCATCCAAGGAGATTTGTTGAAGAAACCAAGAGGAAAGATGGCCTCTTGGCTCACAAAGTGGAGAGGAAGGGGTGGCAAGGGTGGCTGGTTGGAGCTTCAGCAAAAGACTCACGTAGGAGGCACTAAAATGACCTAGGATTATGTGTCATTATCTATATATACCTACTTAAGTTTTAATCGCACTGCATTAGCGCTAATAGCTACGCTTATCATTTTAATCCCAAACTTAGGATTCTGAACCTAGTCCTTTTTCTAAGATTTTTCATATTTTTATTTTATTTTTCGCAGCACTTTTCTGGTACGTGCTTTTACGTAGCCAGCATCAGTTCTGGCACCAGTTCTCATTATTTTGACTCCAAAATTATTATACTAGTCCTATATATTATTCTAGTAATATATACACACTTTTTATAATTTTCCGGGATACTTCATCGGTACGCATTTATACCGTGAGGTAGAATCGGTATCTGCACTTTTCATTAGAAAAGCGACTTTCAACGTTATTAATCACTTCTCATAATTATTAAAGCCTTCTCATAATTATTAGGGTCAATTATGGAATTATTTCATTAATCTCATAATTATTTAATTAAATTCCTAATTTAACGGTGCGGGTTCTTACATTCACCCCACCTTTTAAGGATTTTGTCCTCAAAATCAGAAACATACCTGTCCCGAAACTCGAGGTATTGCCGGATAAGCTCGTCCTCTCACTCCCAAGTAGAGCCGTCAAAACGGGCCAGCCCAGCCCGTTAGGCCCTAGCTCGCGCGGGCCAGGGTCAAAAAGCCCACAGGGTCAAAAGCCCGCATATCAAACAGCCCGCACGAACCAAAAAATCATATAACCCCATGGGTTAGGGCCAGCCCGCGGGCCAAAAATCAACTATATTTTAACAATAATTTAAGAGTAAAATTCTACAATGTGAGAAAGCATTATATCTATATACTTGCAGATAGGTTTGAAGAAACTGAATCACAAATGGTATGCACCCCACAAACATTGGTATTTGCAAAATAAGTGCTTGGTGTCCCAACATTGGTCCCTGTACGAATAACGTTTATGGCTTTTAACCCAAGATTTGGCAATGTGATTAAAGGGTAGTTCAAGTCTGTTACGCTGTGAGATCCTGAACAAATAAATGTCCTATTGAAATTAAGTGCGGAAATGAGTTGTTGGTCATATCCAGAAGCACATAAGAATTTCAAGTAATCAGTAAGGCCTAGATCATAAACAAGTCCAGGATCTACAACAAGGTCAGGTTGAACATTGTCCCATCTTTCTTCTTAACAAAGATAACCGTATCTCCCCATGGAGACACACTCAGTCGAATGAAATCTTTCGCGAAAAGATCCTCAATGTGCTTCTTCAACTCCGCTAACTCAGGTG